TAATTTTTAATTCTTATCATCCCACCAGACTCGCCTATGTCTATCTTTACCTAGATTTTTTTAAGATTTTTTAATATATTCATAATTTATCAATTCCCTCAATCTCACCGTGTCCAATCAACCATGCTTACTTAAAACACAATTGGCGGCTATTTTTCCGTTGAAATTGATACAATTTCACGCAATCTCCACATCTCAAATATCAAATCACATCTCCTCTCTCCCCAAATCTCTTATATAAACCTCATTTTACTTCAACGTTTCTCATTTTTTTCTTTCATTATTCTCTAATCTCTACTCAGTTTACTCTCGTCTCTCCTTTCGCATCGTCTCTGTCTCTCTTTCTCTCATCTCTTGTCTCTCTTTCTTAACTTTATACATAAATTTATCAAGTAATGTGATTTACATTATTATTATTTTTATGCAAGGTAATATTAGAGCTTTAAATCATTTTACTCTTCATTTTACTCTTAGTATTCTCAACTGATTTTTTTATATTGATCAAGTGATAATTGATTTACATTTTATTTTTATGCAGGATATAATAATAGATTTTTGAGTTCACCAACAGCAAAAAGCAAAACCAGGAGCATAATCGGTGCTAAAGTTCTTCTTAATTTTTATAATTATTTTTTTATTTTAACAAAATAATATTAAGGCTTTAAATAATTTATTCTTTGAAATGAATCTGTCTGATTGAAACGTAAAAAAAAAAAAAGAATGGAAGAACTAATTCAATCCCAAAAGGTGTCCTTGATAAATTTGTTATTAATACAACACCAAATGCTAGAACAACCAAATGAATTTAAATGAAAAAACAATTGAAAATTGTGAAGAAATTTTTAAAGATAAAATTCAATTCATCAAATCTAGTGAGAGTCTCATGAATTTAGAAGAAGACATTTCATTCGACAAATGAAAATATTAATGATATAGATAAAACAACTATTAAAAATATTTGACCCGTACCTGGAATAATTTGACACAAACTTATGTGATTTATTAGTTGAGAAAGGTCCAATAGACAAGTTTTAGATTTTCAAAGATGAAAATTCTAGACATTTTTCTACATTCATTACATTCGAAAATTACCAAATGGAGAAAAACATATAGAAAATGGCTAATATTTCAAAGAATTAAATAAAGTATTTTGTTTTTGTTGTAAATTATTTAGTTTTAAAAGCAAATACATTCAATTAGCAATGAAGGGTGGGAGATTGGAAAAATCTTAGTGCCAGCTTAAAGTCACGAAAAGCAATGAGCATGCTATAATATGACATTTGGTTGATGTTGAGATGAGATGCTTAAAAAACAATTGATAAATATTTACAAGAAGAATAAATAAAGAGAAGAGCATTGGAATGTACTATTAAGATTATAGCGTTGTAAAAATCTTTCAAAAAATAATTTGGCATTTCGTGTGTACAATGAGAAGATTATCAGAAAAATGGAAATCTTTTGAGTTTAATTGAAATGATTGCTGAGTTTGATCCAATAAGCAAGACCACCTTAGACGTATTCAAATGGAGAAATTCATACTCATTCTTGGTCATAATAACAAAATGAGTTGTAAATATTTTAGCATTAGAAATAAGAAATACCTATTAAAAAAATCAAAGAATCAAAATATTTTTCAGTTATACTTGATTGTACCCAGATACAAGTGATCAAGAACAAATGTCACTTATATTAAGATGTGTAGATATTTCAATAAGTCCAATAAAATAGAAGATTACTTTATAATTTATAAAAGTGGATGATGCTTCTGGTCAAGGCCTTTTTAATGTTCTCACACATATATTAAAAATCTTCAACTGTGTATAAGTAATGTGGAACAAAGATTGATAATGGGTCTAATGAGGTAAACATCAAGGTGTGCAAAAAAGATTATTAGATATAATCTAGAGCTTTTATACACCTGTGGTTGTCACAGTCTTAATTTAGTTCTTTTGTGAATGACTAATTCATGTACTAATGCTATTACATTTTTTGGAGTGACACAACGTTATACTCATTATTTTCTTCTTCTACAAACGAGGAAATTTTGCAAGATCTGTTTCTAATTGACACTTAAGCCATTATCCCAAACACGTTGGGAAAGTCGTGTTGAAAGTGTTAAAGCAATAAAATTCAAGCTCCACAAATAAGAGATGCTTTATATCAATTAGCAGAAACTAGTGAAGATCCTAAAACAAAAAGTGAAGCTATTCTTTAGTAACATATGAGATTGAAAATTTTGAATTTCTTTAGGCATGATATTTGGTATGAATGTTATTTGCTGTTAATACGTTTGTAAATATTTACAATCTAAAATATGGACATTGTTGTTGCAACAAATCTTAAGGTCTTGTTTCATTTTTAAAAATAATATAAGAAATGGGTTTACATCTTCTATGATTTCTACTAAGAGATTGCAGAGCAAATGAATATAGAACCAAAATTTCATAAAAAGCGTATAATAGAGAAAAAAACAATTTGATGAGGATGAAAACGAAGAGAAAATTGTCTACTGAAGAATCTTTTAGAATAAATTATTTCACATATTTAGTTGATCATGCCATTTCCTCACTTCAAGTGGTTTGAACAATTTGAAAATTATAGTAATAATTTTGGTTTCATTTATATATAAAAAAGTTAAATTGTTTGATGATGATAGTTTTTTTTTATTTTTTTTTTTTTATTTTTTTTTTTTTATTTTTTTTTTTGGATTTGTTCTTTTTTTTTTATTTGGTTTTCTTAGTTTGCAGAAACATTGTTTAAATCTTGAAACTTTTAAAACTGACATGCTCTCTATATTGATGGTTTAGATTTATATTCAGAATTAAAAATTTAAAAGAAATATAAAACGTGGAAATTAAAACCCTTGAGATACTATTTTATAAAAAGGTGAATTCTTTCCAAATGCATGGATAGCTTATAGAATACTTTAACTATTCTGTTACTGTAGCTTCAGCAGAAAGAAGTTTTTCAAAATTAAAGTTAATAAAATTATTGCGTTCAACTATGTGCACAAGAAAGATTAGGTAATTTGGCTATATTATCAATTGAAAAAGATTTGGTTTCTAAACTTGAATATAAATTTTATTAGTGTATTTGCATCTCAAAAGGCAAGAAAAATAAATTTGAATAATTTTTTAATATAGCTTATTTATGAGAAGGGCCCTAAAATAAATCTTGCCTAGGGTCCAAATGTCTAGAGGCCCTGATGCAGAATGTTGATGCGAAGCATGTGGGATTTCAATACGTGATTAGTGTCCTTTGATATCTGTTTTTGCTGCAGCTTGAATACTGCACTTTTTGTGCTGATGTGTGTTTGTTAAGATTTGGTTTTGGGAGAATTTGATGGATTTTAGCTTGTAAGCTGCATTTTTGTTTCTTGTGTGTTTGTGTGCTGTTGTGAAGCTCGGGCCTGTTATAGTGGTTATAGTTGGCTCAGTTCTGTACAGGTTTTCAGGGGAGGTTTTGGGACTGTGCAACGTAGTAGCAGTTGTAGCATATTGAAGGGGTCTGGAGATGCAACACCTCTGTGTTTTGTTTGTGTGACTGTAGGGTATTTGGTACTAGTGATGAGGCTCTCCAGGGAGTTGGTTTTCGGCAGTTTCTTCTATTATGCGCTTGGTTGCTGCATTTTCTATAGTGTTTTGCAGGTGTTTATGTGTGATCATTGCCGCTATCATAGTGGTGGTCTTGTCAGTTGTGTGAGAGGGATTAGTAAAGAATGAATATATTCACAGTAGTCAGATTAATTATTTATTGACTGTTAGAATAGTTACCATTAATTGGATGACTCACATGAATAATTTCCCACAGCAGTTACATGTATCAGTTTAAGGCGCTTTTCTGGAACTTCATATTAGCATTTCCTTTGATCCTAAACTGCATGTCATTGCTGAGATTTCATTCCTCTCTTTCTAATAAGATTAGGATTCTTTTGCATTACTATTCGATTCATATTTTACGAAACTCTAATGCTTAAGTTTCAGTTGTCTTCTTGTCTACAGGTATATGGCAGCCTGGTTGGTGACTTCTATTGGACCCTTCTCTATGGCGGCATTTATGAGTACCCCAGAGACAAGAAGAGCAAGAATGGGAAGCTGAGGCTCTGTATGAGTGTGCACCGATGAGCTCATTGTGACAAGCTGCGGAAAAGGCCAGACGACCATCAAAGAGTACTTGACATTCAACCAACTGAGGTGAGAACATTCTTATGAGTTTATGCACTTTTCTTGATAAACTTAGTCTAAGATGCTTTGGTTGTTTCCTTTCAACAGATACACAGCGTGTTCCGCTCTACATTGGAAGTCAGGAGGAAGTGGAGAAATTGGAGAAGTATTTAGCTTAACCGAAATGTAAAACAAAGAGAAATTTGTTCATGAAGATAATTCTTTCATGGAAGTTTCTCAAGAAATACGCTAAACTGAAATTAAAGAAAAGCAATTGCTTTCCTTTACCTGTAGAATTACTTTTGTTTCGGGGCAAAATTGCCGGTCTACATGGGACTTCAGCTATGTGTAAGATTCAATCTAGAGTTGGATCAAATTTTTAGAGGAAACAGATTATCGAATTGAAACGCATAATATAGTAAACATCTTTAGAGAGGTTAATTGTCTCTTTTCATGGGGGAGAGAAGTGAAATTTCTTAGCCATTCTTCATGGTGATCATCACCACATTATGAAACTTGTATCAAACCAATGCATAATCAGAACCTGTGCCTCAAATAGCCATGAGATATTTACTTTTTTGTAGATACACCATAAACCAATTTTAATTGGAATATTGGATAATAAATAACAAGATTTTGTGCAAGAAGTTTCTACTTCATTATCAAATGTTATCAGTAACCTTCATCGAAATTTACAATCACCACTAAATCAATATAGGCAGAATACAAGGGGACAAAGTAAGTATTTGATTAGCAAGCTGAAGGGTACTTTGCTTGTGCCCAATCTTTCAACAAAATTCTGTGGGAATACTAAAGAGATGTTAAGTACATTAACAAAGAAATAGTAAATAGGCAGATGCTTAAGAATTAAGATCACAGTCAAGCATCTTTGCTGTAAGTACTGTACTGGTACCGTGTCAGCATTAAGTCATCTTAATCCTCAAAAAGAATTAGTTTCTTGCTGAAAAAATTTTCTAATCCAAAGAACTCCTGCGACCTTTTCTACTTTCATAAGAAACATCAATTTTGAACTCCGAACAAAATTTGGTATACAGAACAATGAAAATACAAGTTTATCCCCAGTATAGAAAAGAGAGGAAAGCAAACTTAAAAGTAAGGAGCAAATTACTAGGACTTAAATTCTTATGCATTTTGTTATTGACTTTACTCAGTTAGGGTTTCAGAGCCCAGAATGAAAATTTACAAGATAAATACTTACCTTGAAATGATTAAAATCAAATCAAATAGGTAAGTCTAAATCACCTTCAACATTCATGTCTTTTCCTGAAAGAACTTCTGTCAGTGTAGATGAATATTCTGACACAACTTGATCAGCTCCAGATTGGCATCCCCAGATTCATGAGATGACCTGCATATTGTGTAGTATACATATCTGGTGAACTGTATAGTGGGGTATAAATAGTGGAGAATACTAAGACATTAATAATCAACATGACAAAGGGAACAAATACCTTGAAATATTGTCCATAGAAGCACAAGTATCCACAGTTGGCTGGCAAGGATAACCAATTCCTTCGCAGTCGAGATCAAAATCAACTAGCAGCTCGGAGAAAGAAAAATTTTGTCCAAAGGCATCTAAAGTAGGCAAATCCATGTAAAAAAATGCCAGCTTCCTTTTCAGATTCAGATGTCGAAATTTCATTAGTAATGGTTTATCCATGTTCACTGCAACTCCACCTCAAATCTTTCCCACCTAACCACCTCAGACGAGCCATCCTTTTAGTCTCGTTCTCTCTGTCTCCAACTCCATTTCCATTACTTCTTCACGGCTCAAAACCACTTCACCCATTCTCATAGCAGCCAATCAGGAAAACAGCCAACACTACACCAAGTATGAAAGCTGCAACAAAACAACCAAACGCAATAACCCAAAAAAAACAGCAAGAACATAGCAGCCAATCAGGAAAACAGAAAATATCATCTATTGATACCATTTACAAATACATAGTAGATCCTGCCAACATAGATGATGCCATTTAAGAAACAGTGTCAAATGGTAACAGTATCATGCTTCATTAAGATGCAACGAAAAAAAAAATAAGAGCACCGATTGAGAACAAAACAGAGCACTTTCCACAAACAATTAGTATCAAGGTCAACATAAATTCAATTGCAAGAGGACTTGCGATCCATGTGAGAAACTCACACTGCTCTGGCGAAGACTATGGCGGAGGTAGCGACGAAATTTCGGAAAATCCACAGCGGTCACTCTATTCACTTCTCTCTTTTGTTCATCCGTGAGATTTTAAGCTTTGAAATGACAGGCTGGACTCTTTATGATTTCATGGTTAGGTTAGGGTAGGGTTTGGTTTGTTGACGGGGAGAAGAGAGCGAAAGAGCGCGATGGAGATGAAGAAAGTGATGGAGAAGAACGGATAGGAAAACTGACCGAATGAGATGAAGAGCTGATAGGAGAACATAGCAATAGAGAAAGGAAGGAGATGAAGAGAGGGATGGAGATGGAGAAGAGAGATGGAGATGAAGAGAGCGATGGAAACCAGAGACGAGCGAAAGAGAAAGTGATGGAGAAAGAAGATTGAAAAATTGAAATGATAAAGTAAATAAAAAAACAGAGAAGAAGAAATAAAAAATAAATATTTAATGATGGCATGGCAATGATGACGTGTCAGATGATATGGCATTGTCACGTCATCTACTACCACTGTATAAAGTCTTCTTTATATTACAGTAGTTATTATTACTAATAATATGGAGTTTTCATTATTTTACATATAAAAATTTAAAATAGAAAAAGTTAAATTTTAGAATAACCTAATTAATAAAATACAATGATACTTATACATATATTCACCATATTAAAAACTTTAATAATTAATATTAAAGTTTTGATAATTAAGTGTAAATTAGAATTAGGATCCAATTAAAAGTGTTTTAATGTTATTAAAAAATTATTTTTAAATAAAATAATATATTTGATTGAATATAATATTACTTCAATTATCAAGTTCTAAGTATATCTATAGTAAATTAGCAATAATTAATTATATATGATAAAATGATAAGTATTATAAATTTAATTATTAGTTAATAATCATACTTAATCTTATAACATTACATTATAGTTAAATGTTACTTAATTATTATAATTTTATACATTACTTAATTGATTTATAGTATAATTATTAAGTATTACATTATTGATCTACTTAATTAATTTACTTATAACATTTGTTATATTACTATAATTAAATAATTAGAATTAATTAATTATGTATTAAATTATAGATTTATAGTATAATTTTAATTAATTATAAATTTCATTACAACATTAGTACATACTTAATTAAATGATTAAAAATTTAATTAATTATATATTACATTAAAGATTTAGGGTATGATACTTAATTAACTATAACTTTACATTATAGTATGATCAATAATTAATTATAACATTACATAATTAAAGATTACTTATTGATTGATATTATATTATATATTAGCAATTACTAATTTACTACATAAACATTGCACAATACTTAGTTAAATTATTGTAATTTAATTAATTATACATTATTATAATTTAAGTACGTTACTTAATTAATTGTACATTAATTAAATGATACTTAATTAATTATAACATTATATTATAAACAAATTAATTATAATATTTTTAAAGATTTATATTATGGTTACTTAATTCATTGTAATATTTCATTATGTATGATTACTAATTAATTATAACATTACATATTAGATGATTATTTATTGATTATGACATTATTTAACATTAATTATATTACATTAAAACAAATGATTACTTAATTAATGTTAAATTTAATTAATTAAACATTACATTATAATATTATTACATTACATTATTTATGATCACTTAATTATTATAGTATTACTGTAAATGATTACTTAATTAGTTAAATTTATAACATTACATTATAAATATTAGTAATTTACTACTTTATACATTACTTAATTAAATGTTAAAAATTTAATTAATTATAATATTACATTAAGATTTATAGTCTGATTACTTAATTCACATACATTACATTATAGTATAATCATATAATTAATATTTACTTATTGATCATAACATTATTTATAACATTAGTAATTACTAATTTACACTAAACTAGCACAATACTTATTAAATGATATGAATTTAATTAATTAACACTACATTATAATTATAGTACGATTACTAATTATTGTAACATTACATTTAATTAAATGATTACTTATTAATTATAACATTCTATTTTAAACAAATTAATTAAATATTATATTAAAAATTTATAGTATGATTACTTAATTCATTATGTATGATTACATAATTAATTATACATTACATAATTACTTTATTATTTAATTGATTATGACATTATATTATAAACATTATTATAACATACATTATACAATATTACTTAAATTATGATAGATTTTTATTAAGCTTATAAGAGTTAATAATTACTTAATTAATTATTACATTACTTATATTATATCACTTAATTATATACCATTACATAGTTAATAATTACTTAATTAGTTATAAATTTATAACATTACATTATACCATTAGTAATTTACTACATTATTACATTACTTAATTAATGATTAAAATTTATTAATTATAACATACATTATAGAGTTATAGTATGATACTTATCAATTATAACATTTCATTATGATTTATAGTATGATTACTTAATCAATTATACATTCTATTATACATTAGTATATTAATTAAATGATTAGAATTTAATTAATTACAATATAAATTATATATTTATAGTATGATTACTTAATTCATTACAACATTACATTTAGTATATCACATATTAATTATACATTTTAATTAATGATTATTAATTGATTATGACATTATATTATAAACATTAGTAATTTTACATAACCATTATCACAATACTTAATTAAATGATTAGAAATTATAATTATAATATATTAACTTACATTATAAATTTATAGTACAATACTTAATAATTTATACATTACATTATAACAAATTATTACTAATTAAATTATTGTAGATATCACATAATTAATTATAACATTATATAATTAAATGATTACTTAATTGATTATGTATTATACTATAAATATTAGTAATTTACTACATAAACATTCACAATACTATAAATAATTATAATTTAATTAATTATCAGTATATTAACATTACATTATAAATTTATAGTACGATTACTTAATTAATTGTAACATTACATTATAAACAAATAATTACTTAATTAAATTATTACGTAATTAATTATAACATTATTACATTATATTATATTATAATTACTTAATTAATTATAGCATTACATAGTTAAATGATTACTTAATTAGTTATAAATTTATAATATTACATTATAAATATTATTAATTTACTACATTAGTCATTAGTACAGTACTTAATTAAATGGTTAAAAAATCTAATTAATTGTAACATTACATTATAAATGTATAGTATGATTATTTAATTAATTATAACATTGGTACAATATTTAATTAAATAATTAGAAATTTAAATAATTATAATATTATATTATACATGTATAGTATGATTACTTAATTAATTATAACATTACATTATAATTAAATAATTACTTAATTAATTACGATATTATTATATTACATTATAAACATTAACAATTTATAACATTAAATTAACAATTTACAGATGAATAATTGTTTGTGTCTTGGTTTTGATTGAGAAATTTTATGTGAATTGATTGAATTTAAGTGTTGCCTAGAGATTAGAGGATTTATGAGTTACATTGGACACAAATAAATGAGTAAATAAAATTTGTTAGGGGTGTATTTGTAAACTTTTAAGATATTTTTGTCATTTTTTAAACTAATATGGGGTAATTGATTTTTTATAGGGTACCTGGGAAAGGAACCGAAACCTGCATTTTAGGTTCCGGTTCCTTGAATTTAAAAACCTGTACTGTGCGGTTCCGGTTCCGATTCCTTTTTTTGGGAACCTACACTGTGCGGTTCCGGTTCTCCCGAAAAATACAGGGTACATGGAACCGCTCACCCCTACCTTAAACTGACAACCATTAATCAAATCATAATTTTGGAACACGAAAGAATTAAGAGTGAATTTTACCCCTTTTTCCCTTAAGTGTACATATGAATTATCTGTTTAGCCCTTACATGAATTAATGTCTATTAGAATCAAGAGAGTTTATCATAATAGTTTAAACAACATGATCAGGTACTAGACCCAAACCCCACGTGGTTAAATGCAATTATTTGTATTGAAGGAGATTAATCCTTAATGGGAGAATATAAGACTACTCGAATTTATCATTTGGATGACAATTTTCACATTTTTTTTTTTTTATCAAATGGACTCTTAAAGTTTAAAAATTATATCATGGATACCTTTTTGCCCTAACTCTGTTGTGTTATCGTTTGTGGTAGATGGGTGAAATGATAACTTTAGTCTTATAAGAAAGTGTGAGATAAAATGATAATTTTTGGTCGGAAAAGAAACTAAGAAAGTGTTTTGTAAACATAATGATAATATAACAGAGTTATGGTAAAGAAGTATTTGTCATAAAATTTTAAATTTTGAGCGTCTATTATAAGGCAAAGGAATATCTGTGATACATTTTTCAAACTATGATATGAAAGTCCATTTTAAGAAGTGCAAAAGTTGTCATAAGTGTGTAAATTTGAAAACCTTATGGGTAGTTTGTAATATTCTTCCATTAATTAATAGGTAAGTCAATAATATGGATATCTTTGCATGCGCTTGTAATGTAATAAGAATATTTGCAATTAATTATTCATAAATATAACTTAATTCACAGAAGAAGAAACGGATGCCACTAAGTATATTTTATCTCTATATTTATATACATACTATTTTTACTGGATTTACTTCCCATATATCCTTACCAAAAAGATAAAAAGGGCCAAGAATACATATCCGTGTACAAGAAAACAAAAAAAAAAAAAAGCAACCACCCCTTTGACTTGATGGAGTGAAAGATGGATTGAGTTAAATGACAAAGCGGTCTTGGGTGAAGTTTAGCAAGGACAAGGGGTGGCCAAAAATTACCATACCCTAAAAAAATATATATATATTTGGAGTAAGTGTAAATATGCAAATGAGTATGATTTAAAATAATAATAAAATGGTTAATCACAATATATCCCTCATGGTTTAGTCAAATACATTGAACCTCCTCTGGTTTTAACAAGAATACACAATTTTCTCTCTCTCAAAGAAATTTAATCCTGTGACTTTAACGTCAATTACTCATACATTTAAGTTGTAAGACTAAAATGACATCTCATTTATATTTATTTAGGACAATAATTCTTTAGTTTTATTGGAGTTATTATCTAACATTGTTGATGCGTGCTTTTGACACCAACCAATCGACACGTGTGTAATGTTGATTGGTCAAGAGATACATGTGATTATGGATGAAATGTAGAGTAAATGCAACAATGAGAGTTTTTTAAAGTGGTTAGGATGCTAAGGTAGCAAATCCTACGTCCACTGATAGTTGTATTAGAATC